GGTAGAATTAAGGATATGATAATGGGGTGGGGGTGGGGGGGGAGGAAGCATTAAAGGACCGGAGGAAAGCTGTATGTTTCATTGGTGCTATACTGCACCCTGATTGGCCAGTCTTCTCCCCACGACCCTTCTGTAAGAGGGTCCATCTAGTTGCCTACAGATTGGCTTTGGGCTTCCACTCCACACTACCCCGCCACCTCATTCAAATTATGATTTTTTGTTCTGGTCTTTGATGCCTGGTAAGTGATCCCATCAACACCTCATGATCACAGGCTGGTGTACTTCTTCCATGTGGTCTTTGTTGCTTCTCAGCTAGATGGCTGTTTGTTTATCTTCAAATCTTTAAGACCCCAGATGCTATATCTTTTGATAGCCAGGCACCATCAGATTTCTTCATCCCATTTGCTTACACACCCACTTTGTCTTCAGCGACCATGTCGGGAAGGTAAGCATCATGGAATGCCAGTTTAATAGAACAAAGTGCTCTTGCATTGAGGGAATACTTCAGTAGAGGCCTAACATCCATCTGCTTCCTTAATACTGAACCTATAAATATATGTACATACATCTATTTCCCCATTGTCATATATAAATATATTTACATATGTACATGCCTATATTTAGCTCTCTATAAATGCCCTTTGCCTCCTAGTTCTTTCCTCTGTTTCCTTTTTATAAAAAATCATTTTATTGGGGGCTCATACAATTCTTATCACAATCCATACATCCATCTATTGTGTCAAGAACATTTGTACATTTGCTGCCATCATCATTCTCAAAACACTTGCTTTCTACTTGAGCCCTTGATATTAGCCCCTCATTCCACCCCCTTCCTTCCTGCTACCCCCTCCCTCATGAACCCTTGATAATTTACAAATTATTATTATGTCATATCTTACACTGTCCGACGTCTTCCTTCACCCACTTTTCTGTTGTCCATCCCCAAGGGAGGAGGTTATATGTAGATCCTTGTAATCAGTTTCTCTGTTTCCTTTTACTTCCTTCTTGTCCCACAATCATTTTCAGCCTTCATTTGGGTTTCAGTAATTCCTCTCGGACACATTGCCCTTGATCAAGCCCTGCAAGACCTCTTACACGCTCCTTTGCCATCAATTTTTGGTCACTTGCTGTTCCCTTGTCCCTGGGTTTGTCAAAACCCACTTCTTTTCCCCCGCCTCCCCCTCTCCCATGTCCCCCTGGAACTGTCATCCAGGTGTTTTCTGCTCCCCCTTGTTTATCCCACCTATCTTATCTAGATAGACATGCAGAGAAAATAATATGCACAAACACAAGACTGAGCAAAAAAAAAAAAAAAGGAACAATAGAAAATAAAACAATAGCTCCAACAGCAACAAAAGCCAATGACCAAAAAAAAGAAAAGAAAAGCCTATAAATGGTTCAAGGTCTATTTGTTGATCTTTACGAGTGTTTTCCAGTCCAATCTGATGGGATGCCATCCCCTGGCCCCACAGTCCATTTGTGGTGTTCGCTGGGGACTTCATTGCTCTGCTCCCCTGCTGTTCAGTTGCACGCCCTCAGTGTTCACCCTGTGCTTCACCTCGGTGTGGTGGGGTCAGAGGGGCACAATTTCTGCAGTGTGCCACCAGTGTTGAAATTACCCTCTTCTGATCCAAATTTTACTTAACAAGTTTTATGAAAGGGTCTGAAGAATGACATCAAATGCATTTTTAATGCCTATTAATAGATAGCACAATGTCTACTAATAGAGAGCACCACATCTTTTATTGGTCTGATTTTGATTGCTGTGTTTTCTTATGTTATACCTCATATCACAGTTCTAAACTCATCTCAACTGGGTGATGTAGTCTAGTAGTCTATGTTGATTTATTAGCATCCTATTTAAAAGAAATCACGATTTGCTCGATTTTTTTTCTTTTGTGCAATCTTATTAGTTTTTAAGATTGTGGCTGCATTAATGAAAAGGGAGATGCTCTACCTGAAGTGGTTTATGTAAAACACAAGTTGCTGTCAAGTCTACTCCAAGCAATGGCAGCCCCTGTGTTTTTCTGAGTAGAACTGTATTTCGTAGGGCTCTCAATGACTATGGGTGCTTGAGAACAGGCTGCCAGGCTATCCTGCTGAGAGGCCTCTGAGTGTATTCGAACTGAGTACATCGTGTTTGTGCCATCCAGTTAAATAAAGAAAACAGAGCCTCTCCATTTGTATATGTTTGTCAGAATTCAGTTATAAAACAACTGGGCCTGTGCTTTATGAAATGGCAATTATGAAACTTATTTTCCAGATTTCTATAGCTTTTGTTTTGTCCTGGTTTTCTTCTTCTTAAGTTAATTTGAGTACAGGCAGTCCTTAGGTTTTGAATGTTCAACTTCTATACAACCTGTAGTTACAAACCAAGCTCTGTAAAACCTATAAAAAATTTGAAGCTCATACAATGATTCCTAATTTTAAAAAATGGGTGATACTTTACAGTGTGCATCAAAACATTATCATTACTACTGTATTGTTGTGTGAAAACGAGCTGTTATCTTAAAATGTTTCTTTAATGTTTTCTATGCATATAAAAGTGCATTCTACACTAAGACAAGTGGGTGGCAGATACAAACCACACCATTTTGACTTATATATAAATTACATTTTAAGACAAATTTAGAAATAGAACTATTTGTAATGCAGAGAACGATCCGTATTTTACATTTTGAGAGGAAAGCTTCAATTTCCACTAGATTTTTCCAATAGACTGTCATAAAGTTATCATACTTTTAAAAATAATTCTTTAAGTCCCTATATCTGCTCTCTGATTTGTAATGCAGTATTTTCCCTCTATTTCTCTCTTATCCCACATTCCATAGGGCTACTAATTATCTTGAAAAAATGTACATACTTTTCCTAAGTTTTGTGTGGGGGTAGGAAAGAAGACAAAACAGATTTTTAGTTTCAAGGACAACTCATTAATCTCAGTGCATATTTTTATAATTCTCTCATTTCTATTTTTTTAATCTTTTTGTAGAAAGGGGCTGTTACTCCTTTCCTATTATCCTGAATACTTATATACTTTCAATATTTAATTTTTAATAATAATAAGATTCAAAGTTATACATTTTCCTGTGAATACAATATGCTGACTAAATTAATCCATCTTTCTAGAAATCGATTCTACAGAAATGAAAGTTCTATAAATAAGAATGCATGTGGAGGAATGCTTGCTGTATTATTTTCTGTCATGGCAAGCCAACAAACAAACTGGTCACAGACTGAATTTTCACTAATCCCGTAGTGAGAGACTTGTCTAGATTACAGGGCAGGCTCACTAGAGAAGGTGCTCTTGCTATTTAAATCTATATCTATTGCTCTGGAGAAATGTTCATAAAATATTAGGTGTAAAACAAAGTTGAGGAGTAATGGGATTAGGGTTACAGTTTAAATGTGTAAGTAAAATTAAAACATATAAACACCAAAAAAGTATGTTTTGTTTTTGTGTTATGTGTAGGTCTTCATGTGCAATGCTTCTGATGGGTTCTTCTGCAACTGTTTTTTAATGTAACTTGACGGATCACCATTTCACTGCCCTTGAGTTCATTCTGATGCCTATCGGTTCTACAGGACAGAGTAGCACTGCCCCTGTGGGTTTCTAAGACTGTCACTCTTTATGGGAAGCAGAAAGACTCATCTTTCTCCTGAGGAGCGACTTGTGATTTCAAGGGCTGACCTAGAGGTTAGCAGTCCACGTGTGACCAGGAAGCCACCGGGGCTTCAAAAAAGAAAATGTCCCCCATTACTTTTAATTCCACTTTTCCATTAACTTTTTGAAAGCCCCTCATATAACCTTATCATTAAATTAAAAACCCATCAGTGCTTTTAAGGTCTACACAGCTTTACTCTTCATAGTCTCCCTGCCTCTTCTATATGATGATGCTGATGTTTACTGAACCTCTTGGCTGCTATTCTAAGAGATCTCCAGAAGGCCCAATAATTCTCTTCAGTAGTAAACTTGTAGAAACCAGATATGATTAAAAAAATACTAGCAAGATTGGAAAAGATTTAAAAAGAATAATGAGGAGCGGGTTCGCTTTACTTCACAATATAAAAGGAATACTAAGTATTGGTGGTGAGGAGACAAAGGACTTATAAATACGCCCATTTTTACAGTGTACAAGCCAAGATGTTAGTGAAGTTAGTCAAAGTAAAAGCAAACAGCGATACAATCATCAATACCTTTTTCCTGTAACATTCTTGGTGGTGGCTTGACGGTGGCAAGGAGCTTCCTCCATACTCTGGTCAGATTTTGATGGAGAAGAGAGCGAAGAGGCTCCACGCGTCGAGGAGAAAGACGCCCTTTCTGGGCGCAGCTGTCTGTCTTCCAATTCAGCTAGGTTGTCAGGCGGGAAGGGTGGTGCGCTGCCAGCCACTGGCCCGAGGGGCAGAGCCCCGGAGTCTGATTCTGGAGAAGAAGTTCTCAAACCCTTGGGCAGAAGCGATTTGGTAATATGCGTGTGGTTATAGAAACTGTGTGACGGCGGTTGGTAGAAGAGATTACAAAGGGGGCTGCGCTACTGAGTATCAGCTCCATGTAATACTCACTTTGAAATAAAAACATCCTTTTGTTAGTGAATACCCAGGAAAACCTTTGTGGTTTGTTTTTTTTGCTGGTTTACAGATGAGAGTGCACAGTTCACAACAATTGACCATATTACCATTGTAGCTAGCACTGTAGATCCCTAAGACATAGAAAATGAAGTTATTGCACACGCATTATTTCCCCCTCAATAAAACCAACAGCTGAACACCAAAGTACCATCGTGCAATGCAACCATATGGATCATGCTCTTGGCTGGTTCATCAACTGAACAGAAAGACCAGTTAAACTAGAACAAGATATCAAGTTGAGGTAATACTTCAGGAGATTAAAAAATGAACTATTCCAGTTCTTTCCAATTAGGTCATAGAACCTGGTTGCAGAAAAACCATTGTCACCGGTCAGCTGTAGAAACTGCTCATCGGAAATGAGTCGAGGTGCTCACCTTGCGCTCAAGACTGTCCTCCCCATCCGTGGAGCTGACACTGTCACAGAGTCTTGTCCTGGAGGGCCTCTGGCGTTTGTTCTTCACAGAGAGCTGGGCCCGGGTTTTCAGGGCCTTTGAATCCAGACGTTCCGTCTCTGGGACCGCTTCATTCAAGTCTAAGACAAGGATATTGGAAAAGAATTCATAAGAGAAATTTGGAGGGAAGACTGACAATGAGACGCACAGACACCAACAACTAAACCTCAGGGTTATCAGTCACACCAGGCAAGCACAGGTGGCAATCGTGACGGCCTGCCTGATATGCCAGGAGTAACAAAGGAAGCAATGAGAGGTTGGATAAAATGTTTAATGCCAAAACGCAAAACTAATTCTAAAGCTAAGTCTAACATCCACATAAATCAAACACCCAAAGGTAAAATAGCACAAAACCCACCCCTGATTTGTATTCATATGTATGCATGTCTGAGTGCTCGGTGAACAAAGATAAAAGGGATACATGTATCCAGGTTCAGACATCATAGAAATCAAGTCAATTTGTAAGGTCAAATGTAAGCCATAGAATGTAACCATCAGTATAAATACTAAACTATATGAGTTCACTTTTTTTACCATTTTGGTATTACTTTTTCTTACCTAAAACAAAATTTCTGAAAGTGTAGTGTCTCCTTTGAATGCTCTAGGAACACCACTGAGGGATTAATTCATCACTCACTTTGGTGAAAGAGAGGATGAAATTCTATAAGAAGGAGAAATGAACTGGAGGGGGAGGGGAGGGTGTCATAGAATAGGGGAGTGGGTTTGATGAGGGGGTTGAACTCTTGGATGCCGAGTTGATGGTATGAAATGAAAACCTTCCAAACTAATGCACAATAATAAATTCATTAAAAATATCAGTAAAAATTTTAATTCAAAAGCAAATTTAAGGCAACTGAGAAATAAAACCACTTAACAAGGTCAGGTTATCAAAACAATCACAAGTACTTAATTTAGTAGTAGCATGGCTACAACTATTATTCAAATTTATGCACCAACCACTAAAGCTAGTGATGAAGAAATGGAAGAATTCTGCCACCGTTGGTCTGAAATGAATCAAACATGCAACCGAGATGCGTTGGTAATTACTGGTGATGGGAATGCCAAAGTTGGAAACAAAGAGGAAGGGACGGTAGTTGGAAAATATGTTCTTGGTGATAAAAACGAAGCTGGAGATCACATGATAGAATTCTGCAACACCAATGTCTTTTTCCTGGAAAATTACCTTTTTTCAATAACACAAATGGCGACTGTACATGTGGATTTCTCCAGATGGAAGACATGGAAGTGCATGGCATACATGGAAATCAAATTGACCACCTCTACGTGAAGAGACCATAGAGAAGCTGAATCTCAGCTAAAACCAGGCCAGGTAATGACTGTGGGACAGACCATCAGCATGCAAGTACAGGTTGAAGCTGGGAAAGTTAAATCAAGTACTCAAGAGCCTAAATGTGACTATTGAGTACACCCACCTGAATTTTCAGAACATCTCAAGAACAGAGTTGACTCATTGAACAGTAACGACAGAGGACATAGTGATCCGGGGAAGGACATCAAGAGAATCCTTCATGAAGAAAGCAATGGTCATTAAGAAGACAAGAAAGAAAAGATCAAAGTGGATGTCAGAAGAGACTCGGAAACTTGCTCTTAATCACAGCACAGCTAAGGCAAGGGGAAGAAATGATGCAGTCAGACAGCTGAACAGAAAATGTCCAAAGGCAGCTCAAGAGGATGTGTTGTAGTAGATACATTTGCTGCCTAAGACCTCTTTAAAGTGTTGAAAAGCAAGAATGTTTCTTTGAGGACCAACATGCACCTGACCCAAGCCATGGTCTTGTCCATTGCCTCATACACGTGAGAGTTGGACCGTGAACAAAGACCCAGAAGAGCCGGTGCACTTGAACTGCGGTGCTGGGGAAGAATGCTGCAAGAGCGAAAAGGACACATTGGTCTGGAAGTCGGAGTGCTCCTTAGCGGCAAGGATGGCGACTTTGTCTTACTTATTTTGGACTTATTGTCAGGAAAGACAAATCCCTGGAGAAAGGCATCAAGCTTGGTAAAGTGAACAGGTGGTGAAAAGAGGAGGGCCCCCAACAAGATGGCTTGGCGCAGGGACTGCAGCAATGGGCTCCGGCATAGGACCACTTGTGAGGCTAGCACAGGACCGGGCAGTGTTTGCTTCTGTTGTGCTTAGTGTCACCATGGGCCCGGTGTGATTCTATGGTAACTGCCAGTATTACGGTGGGCAAATGTGCCGCACGACATCTTTTTAAAGTGTTGAAGTGCTCAGATGTCACTTTGAGGACTAAGGTGTGCCTGATCTAAGGCACAGTCTTTTCAGCTGCCTCATTGGGATGTAAAAGGCGAACAACAGATAAGGAAGGCTGAGTAAGGATGAATGCATTCGGATTGTGGTGTTTGCAAAGAATATACTCAGAGTACTGACTGCCAGAACAACAAACAAATATGTCTTGGAAGGAGGACAACCTGTCAACGGAGAAAAAAAATAGCCTTTTGATCATTTTAATTTCCTCCTTTTAATAAAATCCAAATTTGCAGCAACCTGTTAGAATTCATTAATTGTGATAATTGGGAGAAAAACCAACACTACAGCTCTTGTTGACTTACAAACCATATGAGATGCCACATAGACAAAGCAGTAATACAGTTAATACCTGCATGTTTTATTTGTTAAGTATTTAATATTTGGACCGCACCCTCTCACTGTCATATTCCTCATCTTAGTTGCTCCTCAAGAAAAACAGTGGCCAAGAGTGTTTTTCCTAAGCTGGAGTTCAGCTACCTTGAGTAACTTGTCCTACCTCCCATCTAACTGAGGAACTGACATGAGGATTTTAGTTCTCTGGCTTTCATATTGTGCTACCGTTGGAAAACAAACAAACAGACATAATAACTGATACCATCACAAGGTTTCAATGCTGATAGAGTTCAGTGATATAGGTTCTAAAAACATGCATAGATTTGATTAGTCTAAAAACCCCATGTTTTCAATAGGCAATACTGAGAAAATTATTAATTTTCTACAAAAGTGATAGTTTTTGTTTGGTTCGGGTTTATTTTTTACAGTGAAACAAGTTGACTATCACAGAGCAAAGACACTGGGAAGGCCAATCTCCCTTAGGGTCATCAGTTAGAGGAGAAATGAGCAGACACAAAGAAAAGATGTGTCTTGTGCGCTTGGCTGCTGGGTATCAAGAAAGGTGACCTATTGGCCGCCGAAAAGCTCCCTTTCCCCACCAGATACGTACAAGTCAGACTATTGCAGCTCAAGAGAACCTGAGAGATTCCATCTCATTGCTCTTATAGAGGAGGTCATGAACAGTACACTATTTTTTTTATCGTTTAATTAGGGGCTCATACAACTCATCCCAATCCATACATACATCAGCTGTGTAAAGCACATTTGTACACTCATTGCCCTCATCATCCTCAAAACATTTGCTCTCCACACTAGTTTAGATCCACAGTTACTCTGCAGCGGGCCTGGGCAGAGCTCGGTCTTCAGAAGTGAACTTAGTCGCTCTCAAGTCTGACAATCAGCTCACAACCTCTTGCCTCCTTCAAGTCCTCTGCTTAGTTTTTATCGTCCAAACAAAACCTCCTCTCAGGGTATTGCTTAGCACAATCCCCAGAAGCAGACAGCCCCCCAAATTTAAATGATAACAGAACAATTGAGGGGTTGTATTTTTATCCAAGGAACACAATTCTTACTTTAAAAAAAAAAACAAAACAAAAGCGAGCTGTCAGTTTTGTGGATGATAATGTGGCCTGAGAAACCCAACTGGCTGCGCCTTGCCTGAGGGACCTGCTGCTGACCACAAAGGCATCAGTGGCCCAGCGTCCCCAGCAACCATCTGAATCAGTGATAGCAGGACTGCTCTCGAGCTGCGCCCTTGCTAGTTCGCATATCATGGGCCGGGGAACTTTTCCTTTCCCCTTCTCTGCTTTCCTTTTTATTCTGTCTTGGAAATAGCCAGATTCCTGACTCACATGCCGCTGGAGAGACGAAAGAAGAGCCCATTCAAGCGGGTCAGTGAACAGTTCACAGATAAAGAAAGATATAAACTACCTAATGCTCTGGGAGCTTTGAGTGGGTGGAACTCAGCCCCACTCTACTGGCATCTTAAGACTTGTTGCAATATTGCTTCAAATTGGGTCCTTTAAAAAGAATTTAATGGCTTCGATGGAGAGTTTAGCAGCTGTTATGAAAAATGATCTGTGAAATTAGGATGCTATATATCATATTACCCCGAGGCCAGTTCCCTGCAGCAGTGCTGTGAATCATTTCATCTTTTTCACTGGATTGACGTTCCTTTTGACGTAAATGGAAGGCTGGCGCGGATCAGATACAGGCCGGCCGCCAGGGAGGGAGCGGAATGGGGTGGCATAACAATGGATCTGGCCCCGCATTTTTATGAGCCTGATTCTCTCCAAATCAGCGGGACAAGCCGTCACAGCTCACACCAGTGCTCTGCCTTGCTCCTGCTATTATCCTCCTCGATGTGGAGCATAATGAAGCTCTCAGTGGCATTTTTCACATAAACCGTATCTGCATCTCATTCACAGTCCCTGAAAGTTCATGAGAGGCAGGCCCACTGGGCTGTGGGTTGATCAGGCTGTGAGCAGGAGGCAGGAGGTCAACCGGTCACAGAGGAGTCCATCAGGACTTAGTCTTCTTCAACTGGAATCCAGACAGGCGGCTGTGCCCCCAATGGAGCCATTTACTTAACCTTCCTGTCCCTCCGGATCTTCTGCTGAAACACGCATGATGACAGCATAATAACATCTGCCTGTTCCTGAGGAATAAATGCGTTCGTGGGGACGCACGGGTTCAAGAAGGAAGACTGGTACGTAAAGCGCACCCGATGGAAAGGTCAGCAAGTGACTGCAGAAGAGTACTGAACGCTCATTTGTCATACTTTACAAGGAACTAGCATAAAGTACATTTCTCCAAACCAAATGTATGCGTATAATTGCATTAAAATAAGAACTGGAAAGGTGCACCTTCACACCTAATAAGGTAATGATGCTTATCTGTGAAGGAAGCAGTCAACTAGGAGATTCAGTTAGCTTGTACTTTAATCTTATTTGCCATGCT